GGCTTCTTTCATTTGATGTAATGTCCAAGCTCCAGCCTCTTGGCTTCTTTGCTGTTCTACAAATGCACCAGCCTCTTCCCTCTCCGAGGGCCATTGCACTTGCTGCTTGCATGCCTGGATGCTCTTCCCACCCCCCTGCCCTTTGCACACCGCTTCCTTCACACCCTTTGCATCTTGGCTGAAATGTCCCTGCTCAGAGGAATGCCTTCTCTAAGGCCCTAAGTTGGTCACTTTGATGATTGTAGCTCGCGACACCCTGCTGTCATCATTACACTTATCACAATTTGTACCTGCTCATCTTCCCAAATACACGAGTTGAGTCTCATTTGAGCCAGGATTAGGGTGAGGCAAGTGAAGCATCTCTCTTTGGATGCAAAATTTAAGGAGGCACCAAATCACCAAGTTTCCCTTTTGACTCTGGTAGCAATATGGCTTGGCACAGCACTACTGCTGATCCTGTCTTTATTTCATACAGGTTGATATTTATTCATCATGGATATTTCTGCATTAATTTCAAAATTTTAAAACATTGTATTGAATTATTATTTATCTTGATGACTGAATCTTTTTTAACTTTGGGAGGTGTCCCTTTAAATTTTGCACCCATGGCATGTACCTCACTACCCTCACCTGAGTCTTGACCCTGATCTGTCTCTCTTTTGCCTCTAGAACAAGGCCTGGTACACAGTGGGCACTCAATAATTGATCAAATGAATGAACCATAGCAGTGATAGGACTATGCAGAAATGAAAAGTCTACTGTGCTAGACAAATTGCATAAATGACCACAGCTCTTTACCCAACCTGATCTATAGCTTTTGCAGTGATTCTGCTTCTCCTATCAAGAGACGAAGTCTGTTTTCCTGCTAACTCATTCTGGACTGTTTTTGTGATTTCTTTTGGCCAATAGAATGTGACAGGGTGCCAGTTTCAAGGATAGTTCCAGGCCTTAAGAGACCTCATGTGCTTCTGTTCACCCTCTAGAGAACTTGCCTCTGCCTGAGCTAGCTTGCTGGGGGATGAGAGACCGTGTGGAGCAGAGCTGAGTTGTCTTAGTTGGGAACATCCTGGACCAGCCAGCTCCAAGACACCCCACTAACTAACCACAGATGCATGAGCAAGCCTCACTGAGACCAGAATAGCTGCTCAGCTCAGCCCAGCCTGAACTGCCAGCCCACAGAAGGCGAGCCATTGTTTGAAGCTACTACATTTTGTTATATGACTATAGCTAACTGATGCAAGAACAAAGCCAGGGTTTTAATACAGAGAAGTGAATTGGTGGTGAAGGGGCTCTGGGGACTGACTGATTGACGGGCGATAGATACTAGGAAGGAGGTGGTCATAAACCTCACTTCCCGAGTCTCACCTGTGTGTCCAGTTAGGATGTGAATCACCTGCTGCTCTTCCATGTCCCACACAGCCACAATGCCGTCCTGGGTGCCAACCACCAGCAGCTTCTCTTCCAGGCTCCACTCCATGGCGGTGATGCCTGCAGTCCCCAAAAGACAACGGTAATAACATCAGCTCCTGTGTCTGAGTGCTCAGCCACAAGGTCTTCCAATGGGCCCCTGCGTCATAGATAGGGAAACTGAGGCATAGACAGATTCATTCCCTTATCCAGGGCCACAGACCTAGGAAGTGGCAGAGCCAGGATTTTGAAGCCAGCGCTACCAGACACCAGATTCAGATCTTGACTATAATGTTTATGTTGCTTTTAGGATCTAAACCACAACTTGGTCATAAGTGTCTCTCTAGTTCAGTGTTTCTCACCCAGGGTACAGTGGGCTGTTATGTGAGAAAGAAATGAACTCCTATTTTATTTAAGCTGCTGCTATTTTGGCCTCTGTTACAGCATCTAAACCTGTATCCTAACAAAGACACACGTACACTATTTCCCATTAAACCAGATTCAGTCTCAGAATCTTTCTAAACACAGCATTCTCGTGGCTGTCCTTAAGTCAACTCTTCCATGCATTGTACTTAGTGTCTCTTAAAATTTCTAATAGTTTGGAAGCACTGTGTCTTAGGAGTAGCTTTCCCTACAAGGCAATGTGGCAAAAGAAAGTCCTGAGTTGCCATAACTGACATGTGAACCACAAGCTAATCATATTTAATGGCCTCACCATCAATGCAAGAAATTGTGGTTGGGCAGAAAAAGGGATGGAGGAATGAAGGTGGATTGTTGGATAAGTGGATAGACAGATGGCTGGTTAGATGAGTGAGTGAGAGAATGGACAGGTATTAGATGGGTAGATGGATGAATCAATTGATAGGTGGGTGAGTTGATGAATGGCTGAGTGTATGGATGACTGGAGGGGTAAGTGAGTGGATGAGGGTGGAAGAATAAGTGATGTGGACAGATGGGTGGAAGGAAGAATAATTAATGGAAGTATAGATGACTGATGAGAAGGTAGAAAGGGAGGGTGAATGGGTGGATGGAAGGATGGATGGATAGAAGGAAAGACAGATAAATGTATGGGTGGAAGGAAGGGAGGGAGGGGGGAGGAAGGAAGGAAGGAAAGAAGGAGGGAAGGAAAGATGGATGATAAATTAATAGACAGGACTAAATCCTCTTGTCCCTCTGACATCCTGGTGTCCCATGGGAATCTGCAAGTTCCATCAGCCTCTCAGGGGCGGATCAGGCACCAGTCCTTAGCTTTCAGACTTCCTAGCATCAGCCTGTAAATTGCAGAAACTCTGTAAGGTGGGCACTGAACTCTTAGAAACAAGACCCCAGAGGCAGTTGGCATCCCTCACTCTAGGCTCATTAGCAGTATTCACACTAGTAATCTACAGTCCCTGGGGAGCAGGGAGAGCTGAGTCAGCATGAGACAGCAGGGGCAGCCCTGCCTGATGGCACTCAGGGGGCCTCCTGACTAGCAGAGGGGAGCCCCAGAGAATAGCCTGAAACACCTGCCATCCACTGCTCCCCCAGGCAAGAGGAGGCCTGGCAGAATTTTTGCTACACTGGGGACACCCACCTTTGTGACAGCCAGTGAGGATCGCCCGGAGGGGTCCTCCTGGGGGCTGGAGGAATCCTCCGAGGGGCACCAGCACAGGATGTGGGCACACCCGGAACCAGCTCTGGGACTGTTGACACAGCTGTCCCACAAGTTCAGGATGTGAGGTGGTGAAGAAATGGAGCCTGGCCAGGAGTTCTGTATACAGGATGCTTCTCTCTGCAACAAAGGGGACTTGAGTTAAGGGGAGGGGCACTGCTTTGTCGGGTTGAACCCCTGTCACCCTCTTCTGTCTCCTTTTCTGTTCTGCAGACACATTTTCGCCTACTTCAAGCACTAGGTAGTTTCCAACCTCTGGGCTTTCACCCATGTTATTCTCTGCCTGGAAAGCTTCCTCCCCCACCCCTTCCCCTTTCTCATGCCAATCTCCTCATCCTCATCTTAGCTCAAAGGTCACTTCTGCAAAAAGCATTCTCCAGCCCAACCCTCCAAGCCTCACAGTCCCCAAGCTCAGGTCTTACGCAGTTGCAATCTGATATTTCTTTGTATGTTTATTCGATGGCCCCACCACGCTCACTTCCCTAGACCTGGAGTTTCCTGAGAACAGAGATGATGTCTGCCTTATTCATTGTTGTATTTTTAGTACCTAGAACCTCACAGATACCCAACAAGTATCTGTTAGGGAAGGAAGTACTGACCATTTCCCCAGCATTTCACAGTTACAGAATGTATTAGTCTCCTGTGGCTACTGTAACAAATAACCACAAACCGTGTGGCTTAAAACAACAGAACTTTATTCTCTCCCAGTTTTGGAGGGGAGAAGTCTGAAATCAAGGTATCAGCAGGCTACCTTGCTCCCTCCAAAGGCTCTAGGGGAGGATCCTTCCTTATCTCTTCCAGCTTCTGGGGGCTCCAGGCATCCTTAGCTTATGGCTGTATCACCCCAATTTCTGCCTCCATCTTCACATGGCCTCATCTATCTTTTCTCCTTTTCTGTTTCAAATTTCTCTCTACTTCTCTCTTAAAAGGATACTTGTGATTGTGTTGAGAGCCCACCTGGATAGTCTGGGTTGAACTCTCCATCTCAAGATCCTTAATCAAATCTTTTGCCATATAGGGTGATAGTCACAGGTTCCAGAGATTAGGAAGTGAATATTTTTTTGGAGGGGGGAGGGGAGTGGGAGGCAATGTTTTCTACCTACCACACAGAGATATCATCATCATTATCTCAAGTTTATAAAGGGGAAAATTGAGGCACAGAGAGGTTAAGCAACTTGCACATAGTCACACAGCCAGTAAGAGGCAGGAATCTGACCCAAAAAGTTTGATTCCAATGCTGAGTAAAGACCAGGAACACTGAAGGCAGACAGTTCATTTTGTCCCTGTTGTTGGCACATCCTAACTGTGGGGCCTGGGGCAATGGTGGCAATGCCTTGTGCCTTGGTTTGCTGGTGGGTGAAATGGGTCAGAGCCAGGACTCAGGCAAGTGTCTCTTTTGTCACGGGTGCAAAATTTAAGGTGGCACCTACAAGCTCAACCATCAAGATAAATACTATTTTAATGCAATATTTAAAAAAAATAAAAATTAATGTATCTAAAACCCATGATAAACAAAATGTCAGTCTTCTAAATAAAAAACAGGGTCACAAACGGCACAATGCCAAGTTATCCTGGAGCCTGAGGCACTAGAAGTCAGGAATATCTACGCATTTTTAGGAGCGGTTGGGAAGTGCTGCAATGTGCTGAGAGCACATGGTTGCCCAGCTGCGCCTTCTGGTGGTGACATTCGTTCCTACACCTCCTTGTGCTGGATGAACCACTGACTGTCAGTCAAGGATGCTGTAAAGAACACACTGTGATTTGGGCTTTTAATTCTTCTCTTAAACAGGGCAGTTGTGCCCGAGGCTGTTTTCCTGGGAAGTCACTCCCTGAAATGTTCACAAATCCTGACAGGCATGAGTGTGTGAAAAAGGCATAACTGATGATGGATACCAGCACCTTCCATTTGAGTGGGACCCTAGATGCGCCTTAGTTCAATCCCAGAATTTGCAGATAACAGAAGCTGAGGCTCACTGCAGAAATGGCTTGTCCAAGGACATTCACATCAACAAGTTGATGTTGTCACGTGACAGACACAGGATCCCGATGGCACCATGGGGACAGGCTCTGCAGGAACTGACTTGAATACCCTTCCAGGCAGCCCTAGGTGGGAGGATCTATAAACATCCCGTTTTGCATATGGGGAAACTGAGGACTGCAAGGTGGAGGTGGGGTGGGAAGGGGAAGGGACTCGCAAGTTCACAATACCAGTGGCAGAGCCCAGATTTGAATCAACAAAGTGGGGCTCAAACTCAAAATCCATGTTCTTGGCCAGGACTGGACTATGCATAAGGGTGCAAACTTGGCAGGGAGCAAGTGGGTGGTGCCCTTACACTCACAGAGCTCAGTCTGGTGGGGCAGATACAATGATGCAATAAAACCAGCCGAAATAATCAATAAGAGCTCAGATAGATGGAAACAGCATGCAGTGATGGGAAATGCAGGGGCTGGGGAGCTCGGGGCTGTCCAGATTCAGTGGTGGCTGGACAGACTTCTTGAAGGAGCAGCATTTGGCTGGTCTTCAAGGGAGCCATGGAAGGGATATAGGAATTCAGCATCTTTATAAAACCCTCAAATCAAAACCAGATGGGAACTGTATGGCAAAAGCCATCCTGTCCATGTCACAGTCATTAGAATGCTTATTTTTTTAAATCAGAAAATAAGCGTTGGTGAGGATGTGGAGAAATTGGAACCCTTGGGCACAGTTGGTGGGAATGCAAACTGGTGCAGCTACTATGGAAAACAGTATGGTAACTTTCTCAAAAAGTTAAACATAAAATTACTGTATGACTCAGAAATCCCAATTCTGGACATACACCCAAAAGAACTGAAATCAGAGTCTCAAAAAGATATTTGTACACCATGTTCACAGCAGCATTATTCACAACAACCAGAAGGTAGAAACAACCCAACCCAAGGATCCATCGATGGGTGAACGGATACATAAAATGTGGTCATTCCGTACGGTGGAATATTGTTCAGCCTTAAAAAGGAAGGAAAGGGCCAGCTGAGTGGCGCATTGGTTAAGTGCTGGCTTGGGATGCCAGAGGGCCCCAGTTCGGATCCCACATATGAGGGCCAGTGACACTGCCCTCCACAGCTAAGATGCTGAACAACAGCTCAACCTGGAGCTGGGCTGCCGTGAGTCGCCGGCAACGGCGTGGGCTGCAGTCCCTGTGGCAGTGGATTGCCATGGGCTACCGTGTGTAGCCAGCAGCCAGCGTGAGCGGCCAGCAGCCGCCGTGAGCGGCCGTCCAGAAGCCGGCGACTGATCTGCCTCACCCAGGAAGAGCGCAATGATGGTGCCAACTTGGGCCAGTGAAGCAACATCCTCCACAAGTAGACTGAAGAACAAAAAAAAACAACAGCAACTTGTCTGTTCCCCTTCCCCCAATTCCCCAATAAAAATCTTAAAAAAAAAAAAAGGAAGGAAATTCTGACACCTGCTACAACATGGATGAACCATAAGGACATTATGCTGAGTGAAATAAACCCGTCACAAAAGGACAGATATTGTATGATCCCACTTATGTGAGGTCCCTGGAGGAGTCAGATTCATGGTGGGTACCAGTGGCTGGGGCAGGGGACAGGGACTTAGTGTTTTCAGTTGGGGAAGATGAGAAAGTTCTAGAGATGGATGGTGGGATGGTTGTACAACAGTGTGAATGTACTTAATGCTACTGAACTGTGTGCTTAAAAATGGTTAAGATGACAAAATAATTGCTCATAAATGCTACCTATTACTAATTTTTAAAACAGTATCAAGCATGTAAGAGTTTTAAAAATTATCAGTTCTCTCTCCTTTCCCTTTAGTAACACCAGTTTTCTACTCTCCTAAAATTAAAAAAAAACCTCTTGTTAACCATATTTATAACCAATAACATATTTTGGTATATATATATATATATATACATATATATATATATATATATACACACACACATATATGTTTATATATCATTTTAGCACAGATATATGTATAACTAAATAATAAGTTGTTTTGAGTTGTTGAGTTTTAAATGTTTTGTTTGTTTTTTTAAAAGATTTTATTGGGGAGTTGGGGGAGAAGAACAGCATTGGGAAATTGGGGAAGGGGAACAGACAAATTGCTGTTCTTTTGTTCTTTAGTCTAGTTGTGGAGGACGTCACTTCACTGGCCCAAGTTGGCACCATCACTGCGCTCTTCCCGGGCGAGGCAGATCAGTCGCCAGCTTCTGGACGGCCACTCATGGCGGCTGCTGGCCGCTCACACCGGTTGCCGGTTGCTCACGATAGCTTATGGCAGCCCACTGCCGCAGGGGCTGCAGCCTACGCCATCGCCTGCCACTCACGACAGCCCAGCTCCAGGTCGAGCTGTTGTTCAGCATCTTAGCTGTAGAGGGCAGTGTCATGGTCCCTCATGTGGGATCCGAACTGGGGCCCTGCTGCTCAGAGCTGGCATCCCAAGCCAACTCTTAACCAACGCACCACTCGGCCGGCCCGAGTTTTAAATGTTTTAAAAGTATAATATGTATGGTCTTCTTGGGCTTAATTTTTTCATTCCACATTGCTAAGATTCATTTATGTTGTTATATATAGCTCTATTTTAATTATTTCTTAATGTTATTACATCATTACATATTAAGTGATGAGAAACAATCTATAGGATTATTCTTCTTTCTATGATATTATAATATGAATAAAATAGACCATATCTGTATCATTTTAATACTGGCCACTCTTAGAAATTTATCTTAATTATGTTTTCTGTTCATTATTAAAGATTCCTTTTCATAAAAAAATGGTTAAGATGGTAAATTTCATGTTTACATGATGACAGGAAACACTGATTTTGAACCCCAATTAAGCAAAATGTTATTCTCCTGAACAAGAATTCCCCTTGTCTTTCTCATTAGCAGATCTGTGTTACCAAAAAGTCATGCTCAATTATTATCATATTTTGAATTTCATCAACAAAAAAACCTGCGGGAATGTGTTTTCTCTCTTGTTATATTAAGTATTGACATCATTTCCTTGATTTTGCCTGAAAGATCGCCCATCTGGCCTTTCTAGAAGCAGGTGCTGGGCCAGGGTGAGGGGGAGAGGCACTACTTTGGTAGTGTTCACTTCAAAGATCTGCCAGGTTCAGTTCAAAGTTCTAGAAGCTGAACTGGGAGAAACCCTACAGGTGTAGACAGGAAAAGAGTGTGAGTTAGTGAAAATCCAGCTGGCGTCTCAGTGAGCAGAGCAGGCTTCTAGTGGTCAGTGCAGAGAAGACCCCCAGCCAGGCCAGCCAGACTCACCCATGCCTCGGAGCTCCACGGCCAGGCAGCACAGCTGGAGAGCTTCTCGAATCAGGCCCACCTCGGGACAGTCCATGTGAGGGGCGCACAGGTCAAAGTCGTCCAATAGGCTCTCCATGCCCCCGGACATGCCACGGCAGCAAATCCAGTTCATGTTGCCTGCAGGGAGAAGGGGGGCTTTGGGAGCACACAGCTCCCTCCAGTTCATCCTGGGAGGTGAGGTGTCACCTCTCCAATTCTCCCAGGGGTTCTTACTCTCAGCACTGCTGACATTGGGGCCCGGTCATTCCCTGTGATGGGCCACCCTGTGCATTGCAGGGTGTAGAGCAGCATCTCTGGTCTCCACCCACCAGATGCCAGAAGCAGCACCCTTAAGTCATGATAATAAAAAACATAAACACTGCCAAGTGCCCCCTGGGGGCAGAATCACAAGTGGTTGAGAATCACGGGGATGAATAACAGATAGATAGACAGAAAAACAGACAGATAGGATAGACAAAGGGATGAATAAATAGATAAGGAGGTGGGTGAATAGATAGATACATGATGGATGGATAGACATAAAGATAATAGATAATAGATCATAGATAGATATAAATAATAGACTGATAGGCAGATAAGATAGATGATAGATAGATAGATAGATAGACAGACAGACAGACATAGGTGGTAGATAAATAGAGATAGAGATGATAGATGATATGCTGATAGACAGACAGGGCCTGTCTTATTCTAAGGCTGACTTTCTCATTCTCTGCACTATCAGCTAGCACTTTATGCCAGTAGTACCCACTCCCCGAGTCATGACAACCGAAATATCTCCAGACATCTCCAGACAAGTGTCACCAAGGTGAGGTGGGGTGTACAGAACTGTCCCAGATGAAACCCAGTATACTAAAAGAAGCTGAGGATTTTGACTTTCGCCCTTTGCTCTTCCCAGGCTTAGAAAGGGGTAGATGGCAAGGGTCAGGACCTGCTCCATCCTCTCCAAGATGGGGGTGGGGGGGCTTACCCAGAACCTCCTGCTTCAGCTCCTGGATGCGGCCTGAGTGGAGCAGGTGATGGGGCAACTCTTTCAGCTTCCGTAGGTTTGCAACTGTGTCCGAGAACCACAGGGGCTGGGGAGCCACCTGCAGAGGAGGAGGGGCTGGCAGCCAGGCCTCTAGGAGATGAGCTCATTCATTCACTCCACAAACACAGGCCAGGCACCACATGATGCTGGAGGGGATGGGGACACAATTCCAGACAGAGACACTCCCACACCCCACTAGCTGGGCTGGGGCAGAGGGTGGGATGTGGAGCTCAGGGAATCCAAGGGGCACTAAAGATGGGCCTTGGAGGATAAATAGGGGTCTGTCTGGTGAAATGTGTTAGGAAATAATGGGATTCTTAAGCAAGGGAACAGCACATGCAAAGGCCCGGAGGTGGGAGAGAGCGGGAGGAGAGTTTTGGGAGGACTGAATTATAAAGCAGAGTGGGCAATCATGGTGGGGACTGAGACTAGGGAGTTTGTAGGAATCAGATCATGAATATCAGGCTGAGACTTTAGACAGGAGATGGAGGGGACTGGAGAACCATGGGAGGTGTTAGAGGAGAGGCATGATCAGGTTGCCTTGTCAGAAGCATTTCTTGAGCAGATGGACTGGAGCAAGAGGTCCTGAGTCTGGGAGGCCAGGTAGGGGGACAGACCACACCCAAGAGGGAAAGGATGAGGCTGAGCCTGTGGGGGTTCTAGGCACAAGGGAGAGGATCTGTGAGTCATCGGAAAGGAGAAAGGGCAGCATCGAGAAACAATCAGGCCTGGCCCTGCCTCTGGCCTCCCTGGTCCGTCAGGGGAGACAAAGAAAAAAGAAAAACTGAATGACAACCAAAGACTTAAGTATTTCCTAGCTGTACTCATTGTACTACAGTTATGAAAAATGTTACCCTCCGGGAAAACTGGTGCAAGTGTCCATGGGAACGCTCTGTACTCCATTTGCAACTCTTCTGTAAATCTAAAATGATTTCCATACTAAAAGTTTTTTTTGTTTTGTTTAGTTTTTTTTTTTTTAAGATTTTTACTGGGGAATTGGGGGATGGGAACAGCGCTGGGGAATTGGGGGAGAGGGACCAAACAATTGGTTGCCTTTTGTTCTTCAGTCTAGTTGTGGAGGACGTCGCTTCACTGGCCCAAGTTGGCACCATCATTGCGCTCTTCCCAGGCGAGGCAGATCAGTCACTGGCTCTGGACAGCCGCTCACAGCGGCTGCTGGCCGCTCACGCTGGCTGCTGGCTACACACGGTAGCCCATGGCAACCCACTGCAGCAGGGGCTGCAGCCTACACCATTGCCAGCGACTCACGGCAGCCCAGCTCCAGGTTGAGCTGTTGTTCAGCATCTTAGCTGTGGAGGGCAGTGTCACTGGCCCTCATATGTGGGATCTGAACCGGGGCCCTCTGGCGTCCCAAGCCAGCTCTTAACCAACGCGCCACTCGGCCAGCCCGAAGCTAAAAGTTTTTAAAAACTTATAGTTCTGCCTCAGAGTGAAGGAAGCACAAAGTAAAGAACAAGTAACTGAGAAGAGAGAAAATCATCGAAGGCTTCCTGAACACCTTGAGATGTTTGAGAGGCAAAAAAATGAAGGAGCAGCACACCAGCTAAGGACACCAAGTCTTAGAGCTCCTGAGCATAAAAGAAGAAAGACTGGAAGGAAATGTGTGAACAGTGACTGAGGGGAGGGGAGTGTGGGAGTGGGTCTTCCTGAGCTCCCTACCCCCAAAATGATGCTCAGGGGCTGAGGGGACATCTCACTCTCCAAGGGAAGAGAAGGGAAGGAGGTCAAGAGGGTGTTTTAAGTGAAAATGAGGGAAGGACGGAGCTGGGTGGTCCTTGCCAGGCAGCCGTGGTCTTGCCTACATAGCAGGGTGGAGGTTGCAGGTGGGGAACAGGGGTGCAGACACCTCACCTTGCGGTCCAGGTTCAGGGGTTTCCCCACCAGTGGCAGGGTGATGAGTTTCTTGGTGCCCTGGCTCCAGGCCCCCAAGAAGAAGTCGGCCAAGACTCCATGCCTCTTGGCTTTCTCAGGCCCCGACAAGTAGCGCTCTTGGACCACCTCGGCCAGCTGTCTGCACAGAGGGGACACGGGCTGGTGGGTCTGGGGGACCAGGTGAGCTCAGAGGTGGCCACCAGCCTTCCAGAAGGCAGTTCCCAAATGCAATTCCATTCTAAACCACCCCCTGATGCTTGCTAAGTCTGCTGACCTCCTGTCCTATTTGTTACCTAACATTTATCTCTAAATCACCCTGTCTTTCTTTTTCCCCTTAAATAAATCTACTTTAAAAAGGAACCTTTGGCCTCCTCATGTTAAACATAAAAGAAGGTACTGTTGACCCTGCCATTCCACTCCTGGAATTATGTACGGTATATATTCACTGTTTTTTGGTATCTACCAAAAAGAACTGAAAAACAAAAATTTGTACACACATGTTCATAGCAGCACTATTCACCAAAAGGTGGAAATAGTTCAAATGTCCATCAGTGGATGAATGGATAAATAAATAGTGATACATCCATACTGTGGAATATTACTCAGTCATAAAGAAGAATGAAGCTTTGGCACACGCTACAACATGGATGAACCTCGAAAACATGATGATGAGTGAGAGAAGCCAGACACAAAAGGCCACATAGGGTGTGATCCCATCAATATGAAGTGTCCAGAGCAGGCAAATCCAGACAGAAAGCAGATGAGTCATTGTCAGGGATTGGGAAAGAATAGATGGGAAGTAACTACTCATGGGAACGGGGTTTCTTTTTGGGGTGATGGAAATGTTCTGAACCACTTAGAGGTGATGGTTATGAAAGTATAAAATGCCACTGAATTGTACACTTTAAAATGGCAGATTTTATGTTATGCAAATTTCTCTTCAATTTAAAAGACAAGTTAGTTGCGTTAGCATCAGTGCATGGAGACCCTTGAATGCCATGCTAAGTGGACTTGATTCCCTGAGAATGGGGAGAGAAGAAGGATCTGGAACAAGCAGGAGTCTGATCAGTGAGTTGTTGCTCTTAGACACCCAGGTAGCATCACCTCCACGCTGAACCTACCTTTGGGCGATGGTCAGGAGTGTGAAGCCGTCCACAGGCCGCCTGGCCAAGCAGTTTCCCAGGTCGCGACGAAGCCTCACCCACAGCAGGGGTGGGAAACGCAGCAGCTCCTTGCTGGGCGGGGTCCAGTCCTGGTACACGGCCTGCAGGACCTCATCATCCAAGGACAGGATGTCCTTCAGCTCAGCCTCAGACAGCCCGTGCCTGTGGGGAGGAAGGGCGGGGAACACACCTGTGTCTCCTGCATTTGGAGGACACAGACACAGAGGGAGGGAGAGACACGGTCAGCTGCGCAGCGTCCTGCATGTCACCAAAGGGTTTTCCTTGAGGATCAGCATTTGGACCGTGCCCAGGCCCAGCGGGAACCAATGCCCTGTTCCAGCTGTACCCATCACATAAGGCCTTTCCTGATCTGTCTGTCCTTCTGCACACACACAGCTACAGAACCTTGAACCATCCCCTCCTCAACCTCAGATGAGTCAGGCAGCCTAGGGAGTGAATGAGGAGGTAACTTAGGCAAATAACTCAGAAACCAACTGTGTCCACCCTGGCCCACGCCGCATTTCCTGGCTTCAGAACAGGCTGAGAGAAAAGGGGTGTCTTTAAATAGGATGAGTGACTGAAGTTTTGGTGCTGGGCTGGAACAGACTTTCTAACACCTGTGAGCATGAGACTGGGAAAACTGTGGATTTACCTGCAAAGGAGAACATCAGAGATCATTTCGGAGCAAGGGAGTGAGGGAGGCTGGCTTCTGTTTGTACCTCACTGGGTAGAAACTCTTCGTGTGGTGTTTTTGAATTCTCTGATGTTGAGCAAAGTCTTCATTTTGATTGAACACCTGCCACATTGTTCACATACACAGAATACTTACTTACTTAGAATTTTCTGATGTATGAGTATCAATGAGAGAGAGAGAGAGAGAGAGAGAGAGAGAGAGAGAGAGAGAGAGAGAGAGAGAGAGAGAGAGAGAGAGAGAGAGAGAGAGGACAGGGTCTGTGAGGCTAAGGCAGGCTTTCTCACACTCAGCACTACTGACATCTGGGGCTCCATGTTCTCTGTGGGGGGGGTGTCCCATGCACCTTATGGTTTTGAGCAGCACCCCTGGTCTCCACCCACTAGATGTCAATAGCAGCCCCCTCCCAGAGTGAAGACAACCAAAATGTCTCCAGACATCACCAAGCGTTCCCTGGAGGGGCAAAATCACCCCAGGTGAGAACCACTGGCCTAGAGCTCAGATCTGCTCCAAGAGCCAGGCTCTCGACTCTGTGTGTAAATAAAATATATTTTCATGGAACTGGAGGCACCAAAATCACCTCCCCCACAGTCATCTCCCTTTATTCCCCCCACTCCCCTCGGCCAGCCCCTGCAGGAGGGTGGTTCTACACTCAATGAAACCCCCAGTTTTACTAACTGGACCAGACGTGAGGCCAGCAAGGCCAACTGATTTCTGTCTCCCCAGATTTTGCAATCAGGTCTCAAGAAGGAGCCAGCACGATGACCTCAAGTCCCTGACATGGGAGCTAATGATGCCAGCCGAAGCAGGAGGCAAGCTGCATTTCCGGAGAGAAGAAAGGAAGAGTCCAAAACAAAAGCCGATGTGCAGAGATGATCCAGGGGGAGAGGGGATGAGAAACTGCCCTGATTCCCGTGCTTTTCTGGTTTCCATGACAACTCTGCTTCCTCCTTGTGGACAGCTTCTGAGTGGCCTAATGGCCTAACCCCTTTATTCTGGAACATTCCCTGAGTCTGTCTTTGTAGTATCCAGGTCAGTTCCCCACTCTGGGGACACCAGTCACAAAATCTGGGGTACACCCCCCTGGAGTTGGCTGTGGGGTGGCCTTGGATTCCTTCCATGGCCTTGGCATAAAGCCCTATTTTTTATTTATGAGCATGAGTGGGATTCTGTTCCTGGCAATCAAACCAACCAAACAAACAAAAAGTCCCACTCACTGATGGCCGCCCATCTTGCCTGATTTTTGGCGAAAGACAAAGGTTGGAAAGAGAAAAACTGCCCCCCAAAACTGAGAAGAGGCAATATTGCATCATCCAGTATTTCTGATGATGGGCTCAAGTGTTCCTGACAGCCATTTGCATTAAGACAAAGCTCTGTTGCCTGGTGTGTCTGCTAATTGGTCTCCATCCCACCCACCTGGGGGCAGCAGTCAGCTGCTGGGGAGTCTGATGAACACAGGCCTCTCTCCTGCTCATTATTTCTGACTCACCCGGCACAACTGACATCTCTGAGCAATCTCTCCTGACCATTCTGACCCAGGTTCACAGGAGTTCACAGCCCTGAGACTTTCTCTTGGCTGAGCAACCTCATTTAAGCCATCATTCATTTAAACTTTATAAATACACTGGAATTGGAGTTTCCTGTTAGATTTTTGCTGACTCCCATGCTACAAGCCTGGAATTAGATGTAGATGCAGGCTCGAGGTTGATTCTTTCTTTCTTTTTTAGATTTTATTGGGGAATTGGGGGAGGGGAATGGCGTTGGGGAATTGGGGAAGGGGAACAGACAAGTTGCTGTCCTTTTGTTCTTTAGTCTAGTTGTGGAGGACGTTGCTTCACTTGTCCATGTTGGTGTTATCACTGCGCTCTTCCCGGGTGAGGCAGATCAGTCTCTGGCCACTGGACGGCCGCTCACGGAGGCTCTTGGCAGATCAAGCCAGCTGCCAGCCACTCATGATAGCTTATAGCAGCCCACTGCAGCTCCACGGCAGCCTACGCCGTCACCGGTGCCTCACGGCAGCCCAGCTCCTGGTTGAGCTGTTGTTCACCATCTTAGCTGTAGAGGGCAGAGCATCACTGGCCCTCATGTGGGATCCGAACCAGGGCCCTGTTGCTCAGAGCTGGTTTCCCAAGCCAACTCAACCAACGCACCACTCGGCCGGCCCCTCGTGGTTGATTCTTGAGAGAAGTTTGTTTTAAGAAGATTTCTCTGAGCTCGCCCCACGCATTGCTATTAATTACAAAGGGGAACACTGCAAATTTACAGTGGGGAAAAAATTCGTGCCCAAGAAGGGCCGAGCATCACTCAGGTTTAATCTGGATGTGATCATGAGGAAACATCAGACCAACTCAGGTAGAGAGAACTATGATCTTCTCCCTCCCTGCCCCACCCCCAGCGGTGATCCCTGCACCAGCAGCATTGCATGGGAGAAGCACAGGGTTCCAGGCCCCACCCCAGGCCTCCTGAACTAGAGTCTTTATTCAAAAACAGGACCGAGCTACGTATACCCATTAAAAATTTAGAAAAGTTAATCTACACAATAACTGGCCTATATTCTTCAAAAGGACAAAGACAGGATGACCGGTTAGCTCAGTTGGTTAAAGTGTGGTGCTAATAACACCAAGATTGCGGGTTCAATCCCCGCATGGGCCACTGCAAGCTGCAACCTCCTTAAAAGAGTCAACTATATTATTGTAGCATGAAAGCAATGTGTAACCAATGACCATGGCTGTTCCCCAATAAAAAAATAAAATTAAATTTGAAAAAGGACAAAGACAGATGGTAGAATGTTCCAGGTTATAGGAGACCAAAGAGATTTGACAACTAAATGCAATGTGTGATATTGGATTGGCATCTCTAAAGGACATTTTTGAGACAATGGGCAAGTTTTGACTATGAACTGTGTATTAAGTAATATGGTTGTGTCTATGATATATTTCCTGAGTTTTATAATTGTCCGTGGTGATGTGGGGTTCTGATTGTCCTTATTCTTAGAAAATATGTGATGTATTTAAGGGTAAAGGGGAATGATGCCTGTAATTAATTCTCAAATGGTTCAAGGAAAAATTGTGTGTGTGTGTGTGTGTGTGTGTGTGTGTGTGCGCGCGCGCACGTGCATGCAGATAGATAAAAAAATAGAAAGATTGATAGAAAAATAGATAGATGATAGATTGATAGAAAAACAGAAAGAAAGAAGGATGGATAGAAAAATAGAAAGGTAGAAAGAAAGACATTGGACAGGAAAATAGAAGGAAGGATAGAGGGAAAGATTGATAGGTAAACAAGAGAGGGAGAGCGTAAGAGACAAAGCTAATGTGGCAAATTGGTGACTCTGGAGGGAGGGGTATGGCAGCAGCTTTCCACTAGAGCCTATCCTACCTGCAGGGGACACTTAGCAATATCCTGAGACATGTTTGGTTGTCCAAACTGGGGATGGGTGCTGCTGGCACCTTGTGGGCGGAGGCCAGGGATGTTGCTCACCACCCTACCACACACAGGGCGGCCCCCACACACTGCAAAGAATGATCAGGCCCCAAATATCAGCAGTGCCAGGGTTGAGAAACCCTGATATATGGGAATTCTTTGCACGATTTTTTGCACTATGGGAGTTCTTCCACTAATCTATAGTTTGAAAGTATTTCAAAGTAAAAATTTTACAAAAGAAACATGATAGGCAAATCCATAGAAACAGAAAGCAGATTAGTGGGTGCCAGGGGTTGGAGGAGGAGGAATGGGGAGGGACTACAATTGCAGACAGGGTTTCCTTTGGGGTGATGAAATGTTCTAGAGATAGATGGATAGAAAAATAGAAAGAATGACAGGAGGAAAAGGTTGCACAACACTGGGAATGTACAAAATGTCACTGAACTGTACATTTTAAAAGAGTGAACTTTAGGAGAAGTGAATTGTTGTGGGTTCCCCCAAAGTTAACGTCCACCTGGAACCTGTGAAGGAGATCTTATCTGAAAACAGTCTTTTGGGAATTAATCAAGTTAAGATGATGGCATCCTGGATTAAGGTGGGCCCTAATCCATTGAGCAGTGTCCTTACAAAAAGAGGGAAATTTAGACAGAGACGCACACAGGGAGAGGCCAGGAGATGATGGAGGCAGAGACTGGAGTGATGTGTCTACAAGCTAAGGAATGCCAAGGGTTGCTGGCAACACCAGACACTAAGAAAGGCCTAGAAGAGATTCTCCCCTGGCACCTGAGCACGGCCCTGCCGACACCTTGATTTCAGACTTCTGGCCTCCAGTGCTGTGAGAGAATACATTTCTCTTGTTCTAAGCCACCCAGTTTGTGATTTGTGACAGCAGCCCTAGGAGATGAATGCACGCATTGTACCTCTATTTTAAAAAGAGTTAAAAGTGAAGAAAAGGAAACCCCTTGTGCATTATTGGTGGGATTGTAAATTGGTGCAGCCACTATGGAAAACAACATGAAGGTTCCTTGGCAAAGGAAACAAAAGTAAAAAATAAACAAACGGGACTGCATCAAACTAAAAAAGGTTTTGCACGGCAAAGGAGACCACCAGCAAAACAAAAAGATAGCCTACTCACTGGGAGAAGATATTCGCCAATATATCCGATAAGGGGTTAATATCCAAAATACATAAGAAACTCATACAACTTAACGCCAAAAAACAAACAACCTGATTAAAAAATTAACAGAGGACCTGAATAGACATTGCTCCAAAGAGGACATACAGATGGCCAATAGTCATATGAAAAGATGCTAAATGTCACTAATCATCAGAGAAATGCAAATTAAAACCACAATGAGCTATCACCTCATACCTCTTAGAACGGCTATCACAGAAAATCAACAAACAACAAATTGTTGGCAAGGATGTGGAGAAAAGGGAACCCTTGTACACTGCTGGTGGGATTGCAAATTGGTGCAGACAATATGGAACAGTATGGAGTTTCCTCAAAAAGTTAAAAATAGGGCCGGCCGAGTGGCTCAGTTGGTTAAGAGCTTGCTCAAGAGTGCGAGCTCTGAGCAACAGGCTCGCCAGTTCGATTCCCACATAGGCCAGTGAGCTGCGCCCGAGCTGAGCTGCCACTGAGCTGCCAACAGGTGGCAGGATGGCTCAGCTGGTGAGAACATGTGTTACTAACAACAAGGTTGCCAGTTCGAGATGGTGGGCTACACCCACACACAACTAATGACTGAACTCAGCAACTTGAGCAGAGCTGCCACCTGGATGGCTCAGTGGACAGAGTGCACACTCTTAACAATGAGGCTGCTGATTAGACTCCCACATGGAAAGGTGGCTACACCCACCCGCAACTAATTGAACACAGCACCTTGAGCTGAGCAGCGTGACTGGATTTGGAACTGAGCTTGCTGCACCCTCCACAACTAAGATTGAAGGACAACAACTTGGCTGTTCCCCTTCCCCAATTCCCCAACACTGTTCCCCTCCCTAATTCCCCAATAAAATCTTTTTTAAAAAAAAGTTAAAAATAGAACTACCATATGACCCAGCAATCCCACTTTTTGGGTATTTATCCAAGGAAATACAAAACACTAATTCAAAAAGATGTATGTACTCCTATACTCATTGCAGCATTATTAACAATAGCCAAGATATAGAAGCAACCTATGTGTCCATTGATAGATGAATGGATAAAGGTGTGGTACACACACACATACACACACACACACACACACACACACACACACACACACACACAACCAGTGGTGCCAAAAAAATGTATACGCATGACTTGTATTCATCTTTTGTTATCAGTATATATTATTACAATTTTAATACAGTTTTTTCCTTTCTCAAAATGTGTATACATTTTTTTGGCACCCTCTGTATATATGTATATATACACAATGGAATATTACTTAATCATAAAAAAGAATGAAATCTTACCATTTGCAACAACATGGATGGACCTAGAGGGTATTATGCTAAGTGAAATAAATCAGCAGAGTAAGACAGCTACCATATTATTTCACTTATATGTGGAATCTAGAGAACAAAACTATGAATAAATTAAACAAAACAGAAACAGGCCCATAGATACAGAGAACAAGCTGATGATTGACAAAGGAGGGGGTGGGGGATGGGTGGAAAAGACAAAAATATGATCTAGAGCAAGCTGATATGGAAACAAATGATAATAATAAAGGTCAGATTAATGTTATCAAACACTTTCAGGTCTGTGAAAGGTTTTCTCTTGAAGTTTTCTGAGAATTTCCTTGTTTTAAAAAAACTAAAAATAATTTTATGTATGTGTAAAAAAAAAAAAGGCAGAAAGCACCTTTCAAAAAAAAAACTAATGCTTCTTATAAGACGTATTAGAATGTATGAGTTTATATTAGGCTGCTATTTAGTACATTAAATCACCTTAATTTTTAAGAGAGAGACTTTTGTGTAGCATGTTTTATATTTTTCTGGTACATGAACTCTGTTTACTAGCATAAAAAATTAAAACTAATTCAGAAGCTTTTTTTAAAAAAACTAGAATGAAAAAGAGACTTACCGGGAAGACACAATGTAGCCCAACACTCGGGCCACCAGGAGCTGCCCATGGGTCTGCTCCAGGCGGGCACACAGCTGGTGCATCGCATCCTTAGCCGTGGAGGCCAGAGGAGCTGGCATGGTGAAGGAGGCCCATTTCCGGGCCTCCTCAAAGGCCAGACTCAGCCGCCCAGGGTGCCCACACTCCGGGAGGCTGGCCCAGAGCAGGTCCCTCTGCCCCGGGCTGAGTGTCCTCCCGGACGCTTCTAGCAGGAGCTGGATCATCTCTTGCCCTTGGTGGCTAGAGAGGGGTTTCACCTCCCAGTAGGACTCTAGGTCCATGATCATCTGCCGCACAGTGTCCAAAACTCCCCGCTTCCCTGAGCAGACCGAGAAGATGAGGTGGACCCTCGGGGGACACTTGGGAGGCAGCCAGGGGATCCTCCGAGCACGGTGGATGGAGTCCACATCATCCACAGAATCCAGCAGGATCACAAGAGACTCAAAGTTTCTGCAGGAGACTGTGTGCAGGAGGGTGTGGAAAAACTGGACCACCCTGGTGTGAGCCTCCAGAACCTGGGCAGGGGGCAGGGGCAGACCATAGGCCAGGCACACCTGGAAGCAGATACTCTGGAGCAGGCTGCGGGCATCACGGCTTATCTGCGACATCCCGAGGAGCCTCAGCACGGTCACCGTCTTGCAGCCCAGCAGTCCCGGCATTTGCTCAGCCAGCTTGCACATCAAAGCTGTCTTTCCAATGCCCGGGGGTCCAAAAAGCACAAGAGGCGTGTGGGGGTGGTTGTCACTTTGCCTGAGTCGCTGCCCCACCTGGGCCAGGAGCTCCTGGCGCCCGCAGAAGGTCTTGGTGGCCTCGGAACTCAGCCCCAAGTGGTGGCGGATCTCCTGGTAGAGCCATGCCAACTCCTGCCTGCCCGCTTCCAGCTCCCGGAGGCGCTCGAGGACCTGGTGGTTAGCCCTGGCCACAAACTGCTCCCCCAATTCCTTCAGGTACTGAGCATGAGCCTTGTTTTTAGGGTTCACCAGGTCACGGCTCCATAGCAAGTGGTGGGCCTTGAGGACTCCAGGCTGCACATCAGCAATGCGCCCTTTGAGGCTGCTGAGAAGGTCCTGGGCATCTGTGTCAAGGCAACCGTCTGGGAGCCGGTCCACCATCTTTAAAGCACAGTCTTCTAGAATGTGTTTGTTGAGGTCCTGGATCTCTCTCAGGAAGACAGTGGCCCCCTGGTGCCCGTCTGTCAAGCTCAGCAGACCCCGTTCTATCTCCCACTCAATGACTGCAGAAGTGGAGGAGATGGGAAGAGGGTGTGGTCATCACTATGTCATCAGCTGGCCTGAGTGGGGACACTTGGGAGACACACTTGGGAGATGTGGACATTGGGTCTCAAGCTCAACATGAGCCTGAGTGACCTGGCATAACCATAGACAACATGCAAACAAATGCTCTTGAGTATATTCCAATAAAACTTTATTTACAAAAACAAATGGTGAACCGGATCTGGCCCTCGGGCTGTGCTTTGCTGACCCCTGTCCCAGAGTATGCCACAGCTGCTCTGAGGGCCCATATTTTCCAGAGCCAAGGGCCCACACTGACTTCTCCTTGGAGGCTGTTGTTTGGAAATAGCAGACAGACCAGAGGAGTATTTTTGAAGCTACCCTACACTCAGCAGAGGCCCCGAGCTCTCTGACGCTGAGCAAGCCAGGCCTTAGCTTGGAGACAGGATTCAGTCTCCGAGCCAAAGACAAGAGCCACTCAAAAGTCCTCCTTGGAGTGACCCCACACCTGCCTCAGCCCCATGAATGGAGGTCAGAAGTGAAGGCAACTAACAGTCTTGAAATGGGGTCCTTGGTGGGCCCCATTTTGGTATGAACCAATCTAAGACCACCAGCAAGCCGTGACCTTAGGCAAATCACTGCACCTCTCTGAGTCTCTGTTTCCTCCCCTGTAACATGGGTATGCTAGTTAAATCTTGAGGGGCTATTAATGAGGACATTTTATGAACTAATTCTTGTGAAAATCTTAGCATGTTATGCTGAAGGAACAAAGTCAATCTCAAAAGGTTACAGACTGTGTGATTCTATCTTCTATAACATTGTTGAAATAAAATTATAGAAATGGAGATGAATTAGTGGTTGCTGGGGTATGGGGGATGTGGGGAAGGGTAAGTGTGTTTCTAAAGGGGTAGCGGGAGGAAGGCTTGCAGTGAGGGAAGTGCTGTGTATTGACTGTGTGGTTACTCGAAGCCACACAGGTGATGAAATTGCATGGAATGAAATACATGCGCACACGCATTTTCCCATGCACACATGTGCACATGCAAAGGTGTGCCTGTAAAAGTGGTGCTCTCTCGGGATTATAACATTGTCCATTTCTTGGTTGGAATATTATACTCTCGTTTTGCAAGATGTTACTTACCTTCGGGGGAAACTGGGTAAAGGATATATGGAATCTCCTTCCACTACTTTTTTTCTTTTTTGCAATTTCCTGCAAATCTCTACTTCAAAATAAAAAGTTAAAAAAAAAGACAGCTGAGCAAGGCACTTAGAAAATAATATGCTGAGAGACACCATCGCTGACGTGCATTTGTGCTTTCTGCTACTTTCAAGGAGTTTCTACTTGTTCTTTCAAGTGGGGCTTCTTTTTTATTTTTAATTTTTATTCATTTATTTTTTTCCAAGTGGGGTTTCTTAATGGGCTAGGTTTGACATTGCTGCTTAGAGTTTCAATATGAGTTCATAGCTGGGACAAGACCCTTTAGACTCCCCAATGACTCCATTACATACTAACTCTGACTAGTTCCTTCTTACAGATGAGAAAACTGAGGCTCTAAGGCTTCCAGAAGTCAATACAGCTGGAAAGGGGTCAAACTGAAAACCAGCTCCATCCCGAAGTATAGACCCTAGACGCTGAAAATGGCCCTAATGGCAGATATCTCATGAAAGCAATTAGCACATTTAGTTTCGTGTCATAGAGCAAACAATAGCAACATAGTAAGTGCTCAATAAACAGTAGCCATTAAAATTATTTACATAAACAGTGTATTCAAAATTGATATGTCATTCCTAGTCTTAACCAAAGGATCAAGGTTAGCATCACCTGTGATGTCAGGTGGGCATCAAGGTACTCCTGTCTAATCATGAGAAAATACAAGACAAACCCAGAGTAAGAGACATTCTATGAAACACCAGGCCAGCACTCCTCAAAATGGTCAAGGGTCAAGGTCATAGAAAACAAGGAAAGACTGAGAAACTGTCACAGACCAGAGGACCCTAAGGGGACGTGTCCACTAAACACAACGTGGGATTCTGGATGGGGCCGTGGGACAGAAAGGAAATGTTAATGAGAAAACTGAGGAAACTGAATAAAGTCTGGAGTCTAGTTAATCATCATGTACTGATGTTAAGTACCGGTGTTAATTTCTCAGTTCCAACAAGTGTGCTGTGGTCACATAAGATGTTAACTTATCTGAGTGAAGAACATACGGGAACTCTATACTATCTTTGTAGCTTTGTAACCTTGTAACTTAACTGTTAATCTTAAATGATCTCTGCAAAGAAGTTTATTTTTAAAAATAGATATGTCATTAGTAGAATTAATATATAATAGATCTAATAGATAATAGATAATAATTTATATATTTTAATAAAATTAAAATACTATTAATATAAATTACTATTCAATATCTTTAAATAAGTCAATATATTTAATATGTTTATAACATAAACCCGTATATTTAATATTCATAATATAAATTAATATATTTAACATGTTGATAAATAAATTCATGTATTTAATATTTCAGCAATAGATAATATATAATAACCAGTATTTTTAATAAGATTAAATTCATGCATTTAATGTTTATAAATGAATTAATATATTTAATATTTTCAGTATAACATAGTATAATATAATATACTAAATTTTATTATAATATAAATTCATGTATTTAATATGTTGATAAATGAACTTATAGATTTAATATTTTTAATATTATACATTTATATATTTAGTATGTTTGATCATATAAATTGACATACTTGTAACCCACAAACTGACATGTTACTAACCCGTGAACAATAATAACCCATTTCTTGCTGGCAGGAAACAGTGGGGAAATGGATTGATCACGCTGCATTTTTAGAAAAATCTTTCTGGTATCTGGAGTAGAGGATAGTGGGAGCGGAGGGTGGGGTGAGAGGTGAGAGGTGAGAGGTAAGGGACCAGATGGGAGCTGCGTCATAGACCCAACCGTCACAGGGTCAAATCCCTACACTCACCCTGGGGCAGACGAGACGCCTTCCTGTGCCTCAGTTTCCACCTCTGAGGCAGGTGCAACAAAGCCAGACAACTCAGAGTCCTCAGCAGGGGCTGACTTGGGCTGACACAGAGGGAACCACTTGTCTAGTTTCCCCAGGACTGTCATGGGTTCAGCCTTAACAGTCCTGCATCCTGGGAGTTTCTCAGTCTCAGGCAAACAGAGATGGTGGTCATTCTAGAACATGTCCCCCAAAGCTAGGAGCCTCCCCGGAGGAAGGAAAGAAAGCAGGGAGGGAGAAAGGATCCTAACAGACCAAGATGTAACTGAACAGGGCTGAATTCTCTTGGGTCATCCGTAAAATGACCTTCTTGGAACCAGGGGTCCAGGAGCTAGACTGGCTTGGCATTTACAGAAATGCGGACCGTGGCATTTGGACAACATGGGACGTGTATTCTGAGCACATGGGCATTTCCCGTGGACCCTGAGGGGAGTCCCGCCACCTCACCTGATCGGTGGTAGTGAAGCCACTGCTCCTGGGTGATGAGGCCCAGCCTCCTGGCCTCTTGGGCTCCACAGCGAAGCACAGAGGTCAGGGCGGCCTCCTCAGGCCCATGGGGCTCCCTGGTGCTCGCGGCCTGTAGCACGTAGATGGGGGGCACGGCGTTCTCATCCCTCTGGAAATGATGAGCCACCAGCTCTAGGTCACCCGGCCTGGTGGTCAGCTGGGCCTTCAGGGCCTCCCACTCCTTCTCTTCAATCAGCGTTGGGACTGGAGAGGGACCATACTGATCACCCAGGAGGGCCTGGCAGAGAGAGGGTAGAGAGAGGGGCACAGTTTCAAATTTCAGCCCTGGAGCTTAGCTCCGTGACTCTGGGTGAGGCATGCCAGGCCCGTAACAATGGGTCTGGCCATAGTGTCATGGCAGTAAGTACATTAAGAGGTGCAGGCAGAGGGGGCCGGCTAACTGGCGCATTGGTTAAGAGCTGGCTTGGGGCGCCAGCTCTGAGCAGCAGGGCCCTGGTTTGGATCCCATATGAGGGCCAGTGACACTGCCCTCTACAGCTAAGATGGTGAACAACAGCTCGACCTGGAGCTGGGCTGCCGAGAGTGGCAGGCGATGGCGTAGGCTGCAGCCCCTGTTGCAGTGGGGCTGCCATAAGCTACCAGTGAGTGGCTGGCAGCCAGCGTGAGTGGCCGTCCAGAGGCTGGCGACCAATCTGCCTCACCCAGGAAGAGCGCAACGATAATACCAACAAGGGCCAGTGAAGCAACGTCCTCCACAACTAGACTAAAGAACAAAAGGATAGCAACTTGTCTGTTCCCTTTCCCTGATTCCCCAACACTGTTCCCCTCCCCCAATTTTCCAATAAAATATTTAAAAAAAAAAAAAAAGACGTGCAGGCAGAGACTTATAGCACCTGCGTGCGGAGGCACCTGAGAGTATGGAACATGGGACTGGTAAATTTGGAATCGAATTGAGCACCGAGCATCACAGAATCTTTTGCTTGGGAAAACCTCTGTGATAGCTAAATAGTACCTCACCCCCAGGATATCTAGAACTAATCCCTGGACCCTGTGAATGTATGTTATATGGAAAAAGGGTCATGACGGTTAATTTTATGTGTCCATTTGACTGGGTTAAGGGATGCCCAGATAGCTGGTGATTAGCATTTGAACTGGTGGACTGAGTAAAGCAGCCGGCTTTCCCCAATGCAAGTGGGTTTCATCCAGTCCATCAAGGGCCCAATAGAACAAAAAAAAAGGAGGAAGGGCAAATTCCTGTCTTCTCCTGTCCTTGGGCATTGGTTCTCAGGTATTCAGACCCAGATCAGGATTAATGCCATCAGCCCCCCAATTCTCAGGGCTCAGGACTCAGTGAATCACACCACCAGCGTTCCTGGGTCTCCAGCTTGCAGACAACAGGTGGTAGGACTTCTCGGCCTCCATCACCACATGCGCCAATTTCTACAAATCTATCTCTATCTCTATTTTCATCTAATCTGTATCTATACCTATACCTATAGCATGTCTATTATCTATCTATCTATATATCTATCTATCATCTATCTATCCATCCTATTAGTTCTGTTTCTCTGGAGACACCTGATTAATACAAGGGTCTTTGCTGATGTGATTAAATTAAGGATCCTGAGCTGGAGAGATTATGCTGGGTTATCCAGATGGGCCCTAAATGCAATCCTAAGAGTCTTTAATATTAGACAGGCAGAGGGAGATTTGATACAAACAGAAGAGGAGAAGATGATATGACAGCAAAGCCAGAGGTTTGGAGTGATGCAGCCACAAGCCAGGGAACACCTGGAGACCCCAGAAGCAGGCAGAGACAAGGAAACACTCTCCCCGAGGAATTTAGGAAGGAGCACAGCCCTGCTGGCACCTTGATTTCAGACTTCTGGCCTCCAGACCACAAGAGAATAAATTCTGTCATTTTAAGCCAACCAGTTTGTGGTCATTTGTTACAGCAACCCCAGGACACTCATAGTCCCCCTAACTGTACACAAGAGAAAACTGTAGCTCCTCATATGTAGGTACTGGTTTGTCCCAGGAATAGAGCTGTGGCAAGAGCTACAGCCTCTGTTGGCTCTGCCCAAATATCAGGCTATGATGTGGCCCTTGGGGCAGGACTGTCCCTAACAGCAGCCATGGAGCAGGGCTCGATGAGAGGGAGGGAGGTGAAAGTGGCTCTCAAAAGCGCAAGAAGGATCCTGTCTTTATTTAGAATTTTGATATTTTGTTCCTTGTGGATTTTTTTGGGATCAATTTTGGTATTTTTTTTTAAAAAAACATTGCATTAAAATATTTATCTTGATAACTAAGACTTTTGGTGCCCCCTTAAATTTTGTGCTGGAGGTGAATGGCTCGGTCTCTTCACCCTAATCCCAGCCCCTTCAGGGAGCATTAGAGCTGCAGCAGGCTTTAGAAAACCTGAAGTCCTGCTCCCTCCTTGTTAGATGTGGAAACAGGCCCCAGCGATGGTGCCAAATAGGAACTGGTCTGAGGTCATGGGTTTAAAAGGGCCAATTGGGAAAGGGGGTTGGGGGGGCCAGGTCCCAGTGTGGAACCTCTGAGTTCTGAGCACAGTCATTCCCAAATATTTGTTGAGCCAAGTTCATGACAGCTGCTCAAGAGACAGTAGTGACCAGGACGGTCTTGGTCATCAATCCAAGAATGGCACCCATGTCAAAGTGCAGTTGACCTAGTGCTAGGAAGAAAGGGTACATGGGTCACATGTAGGCTGTGGAGTCAGGGAAATCTCCCTGAGGAACTAAGGATTGAGCTGCAGAATAAGATATGAGAAGAGGGCACTGGGCAGAGTGCCTGGCTAGCAGCAGAGACAGCA